TTAACTCTTCAAACATACATTAAAACTTCTAAGACAGATAGTAAACATCGTCAATAAGAATTACTCCTTTTATAAAAAAAATAAAAACATACTCACTTATAAAATAAGAGTTAAATTTTTAAAAAAAAAAACATCGCATTTTAATCACTATCTGTGCTGAATAAAGATCACAAAAAGATATGCCCATTAATCACTATAGTAAATTATTCTTTAAACAAAATATTTAAAAAATATTTCGAGAGATTTGGTATTTACCAACAACTTAAATTATACTAGATATTTTAAATTTCAGTGATTATTCTCCTTTGGTCAGATAGATTTGTGAATATGATTATGTAATATAAATATCTATTTGCAAAAAATTCTATTAACATTGCTCACAAACAGGAACAAGAGGACTGTGGGCCAATCTTCAGTATCTTCACTGTCCACAGAACTCACACTGCCAGTTCTGAAATAAAAAATAGTTATAAAATTTATAATGATTAAAAAAGTCACTAAATATTCAACATTGGTAAAGAAAGTATTTTATTTGATTTAAAAAGTTTATAAATAATTGTACTATTATTTTTAACTTCTCAATTAAATAAATTTAATTTAATGGACTAAAATTCTATCATATTCGTTCAGAAGAAGAAAAAGTCAATAAAATTGAATAAACAATCACCTGGTAGAATTTTATCATAGTAATTTTGAAAAAAATCACAGAAAATAATTTTACTATTATTATCAACTTTCCAATTCCAAAATGTATTTAAATGAAATAAAATTACAAAATGTGTTTAAAACAAAAAGTGCATTAAATTAAATAACAATTACCTAAGCCTTGGTAGACATCCATTTTCGTCAATAGTGGGCAGAAGTGATGTAAGACGATCTGTTGGTCGAAGAAGTTTCAATGTGCGCGAAGATAATTTCCAAACAAGTCTTTGCCTGTGTGGACTTTTATCTTGATTGTTATACCTCGACAGTATGTTGACAACACAACCGTGACAACTGAAGAAGCTGGAGTCAGGAATCTACAAGTCAAAAAAGTAAAACAAAATTAAAATCAATCAACAATATAAATGTAGCAATAGGAAAAATTAATATGGAATTTTTGGACTGTGGATATTTATTTATAATTTAATTACCCTGCACTGTTTCTGCATGTGAATAGCAAAATCAACCAATTTAAGCATCGTTTGAGCAGTATGAGATTCCAATTGAGACACACAGCTATCAAGTTGGGTGCATAATAAAACAAGAGCCAGCTCACATGGTCTTACATTTGCACAAGTTGAATCACAAGCTACTATTTCTAGGCGCATTATCAAATCTTCCTCCTGAGAATTAAAACATTAATTAAACATATGTAAAATCCTATTGTATACAATAGTATATAATTGTAATTACTTACAGTAACAACTTTTTGGAAAGGCTCTAGTACCCCAATTCCAGAGCCCTTTGCTTAAACATGGCATGTAATGGACGCAAGAAGGTCAAAGCTGTAATTGGTGGACAACCAGGTTGGGCACCTAGTTTGTCGGCAACAATTGTAGCCATACGAGTCAAATCACCAGCAGTGCATCTGCATTGTGAAATAAGTACTAAATCTTCAGGATCCATTGCAGGTAATGACAGTTGTTGATTGGCTAGATATAATGAACCTACACTGATGCAGGCCATGTGCTTGGGTTTACCTGTAACATAAATTGCTTGTTAATAGAATAAAAATAAATCATCCTCATTGCATCATCTGATCTAAAACTGCATTTGTTTTAGTTTATATACATTTTAATCTTGTTTATCTATGGTTATATATATATATATTTTTATGTAAAAGTAGAAATTTATATCCTAAGATGAAAATATATATTTTTCTTTTATTTAACTTATATAATTTTAGTATTCACAGTTCAAAGTATATAATAATAATGGTAGCTGGCCCAAAACAGAACCAGATTATGAGAGTATCACAAATCAATATACCCTTCCAGATTAAAGATTATATTGCTCACCTTCATTTTTGTGAGAAATCGATCAACTAAATTGATGGCAGCAAAGAGTACTTCTGATGGCATATCATACCATACTTTAAGGCAACGCAGGACATGAGCAGCACCATCTCTGGTTCCAGCTGTGATCTCACCAAATTCCTGTAAATTTATGATTATCAGTTTTTTTATCAATAGCAGTTACTTCTCAAAATACACAGGTTAAAATGGTATCTTTTTAAGTTTGCAAAATAAACTAATTAAAATTATTCTTAATAGTAATAAATAGATTTTAGAAGAAACTAACAATATTTCAGAGAAAGAATTGGTAATATTAAAAATATGATATTTCCAACCAATCTGTAGCTAATTACTAACCTCCGTGCCAACAGGTAGATATAAATTGGGCTGATATTTGGATTCAAGCGCCAGCGCTTCCAACAGCTGGGCTTCCAGAGTTTCCATACAATTCAATGCCTTATCAGTTTCATTATCAACAGCAGTTACTTCACAATCCATTACATCCACAGGTTGTTCTAATTTCTTCTCTTCTTGGATTTCTTTCGCCGGTGCAGCAATCTTATTACATTCAGCCAGTGCTTGAGACATCTTCTTTCCATGATGATGGTTTGTGTGGATTTTCCTATTATTGTTGAAATGCTTCCTTCGAGAGTTGTTACTGGCTCTTTTGCTGGACCGCACCGGAGCACCCGGTGTCCCGGGCCGGCCGCAAGCCTGCTGCATCATGGTGACTCGTTGGCGACGTGGAGGTTTGGAAACTATTGTTCGCTTCGCCTCCGACGGTCACTACGTGACACCAGACCAGGGCTGGCCTAGTACCTACGGCCAAAAAGCACGAATTAAACGATACCGTCTTTACTAAACCAATAATCTTGTCCAGAAATATTCAGTCTTTCGTGCAACTAACTCTTAAGATTCCAACTACGTTTTCTTGATGCAGATAACGATAATGGAGAATTTTAAGAAAGTTGCACAATATCCTTATATTTTATAGACAAGACTTGAGTTATAGTAAATTAGGTAACGTTTGAAATAATTAGGTACTATACACTGTGTGAACACAGTGTAGGCCGCAAATCAAAAACGAAAATCGTATTTAATTTGCTATTTAGTCCCTGATTCTAGTACAAATCGGTAAGAAGTCTAATAGACCTCGAACCTTGGTACTGCTTTTTATATTCAGCTAAAAGCTGAATCAAACAAAAATAAAATTCGGTCTGGTGTACAAGCACGTGGTCAGGAAAATATACAGACCAGAGGCGCCTTTGAGTTTATAAAACTTACGCTGCTGAAGTAGGATGTTATGGTCAATATATAAATAAGAACATGTATATAGATATATAAATTATTTCAATTAGAAATACTAAAACATTTTAAGTAGGTGATAATGCAAGATTATTTGTGAATTACATATCAAAATACTAAGTAGTTTTTACTAATTACTGCAAATATAACTAATATGTCTGAAGCCTGATAGAACCAAATATGTATATTTGAGAAATACGTTACAGATAAATATTATTGCTACAATACGTTATTGATAAATATCGTTCCATCCAGAAACTTTAAACTTTGGTCTTGCACGATTCAAATAATTTATTGCATCAGTCAAACACATCACAATAACATCAAACTACAAATCTGTTTCTTCAGATGGTAGAACAACAATATTGCTCTAAATTTAACACTATGCAAAACATGGTAAGTGCAACAGCGTGTGTGTTGACATAATATACAGAAAACATAAAAATATTTGTACAAAATATGGTAATAAAATGAACAAAACTATCTTACAATGTGTTCGACACAACGTACTAGTTGAAAAGGAAAGAAAAACGAGGCATTCTAAAAGATGTTTTACAAACTACGCAGATTGTCCACTACTTATCGTCTTGGTACGCATACATGAAAATAAGTCTCATATTTATATATTACGAAGTTTGTATGAAATTTTGCAATACGACGCATTAAATTAGTCGGGTTTAGTCGCATAATATTTATTCTAAATGAAAGAAAATAATCCTGGAAAATAATAATATTCTGAATGCACACCTTCAGCCTCTTAAAGAATTTATATCACCGGCTTACAACAAATCTTTGTCAAGCAAATATATAAAAATAACATAAAACAGCTTAAATATAAAATAATGCTGGTGCTGATGAACCATTGAGTTAGTAAGAAATAAGAATTCAACTATGATAAAAATGCAGAACATATATTGAGGTCAATAAAAATCATTAACAGCGTCCACAATAGGTTAGAATAAACAAAATTATTCTTCTAACATTAATATTGAACCAATACCAAAAAAATCATTTCGTTGCCAAAGAAACCAGAAACCCTCGGATCGAGTCCTGGCTTCCTATATAATAATAAATTGTAATACCAAATATGAAAACATGATATTGGAAATTGAATTTGATCGGAGTTAGGATATAATAAGAATACTAAATATGCTAATATGTTGATATTTAATTTGTAGTGAAAATTAGTTTGTTAAAAAGTTGTGTATTTTAGAAAGAAAAAAATGTGAAAAAATCAATAAGGAGTGTGATAAAATTAAGATGATGTAGAACGTTGAATAGAAAAGGATGTGGCTAAATGCTTTTGAAGAGAACAAAAAAAAAATAGAATAAAATTAAGGTGGCCGGATTTCCACCTTGTATCCCGGGTTTTTCTAAAAGCAATATTTATACCGGATTTATATCTTTTTGTCTTTTTAATTGTCCCGTTTTTTCGAAAATTTATATGTAAATTAACAAAAATCAGGAAAAAAAGAAAAAGAAAAAATTCTATTTTTTTTAAATTAATTATGAAGAAAATTGTGTAGAAATTGTACAAAGCATAAAAGCGCAAAAAAACCTGAATATATAACAAAAGTATTACATATGATCGAATAATAGAGTTCTTACTAAAAGTTCGCAATTCTGATTAACAAAAATTGATTCATATAAAAAAAATTTTTATTATATCTTTAAATAGCGTTTGTTATTAGCCTTTTTCCCATCCCGGATTAGCACAACTAAAAATTGACTTAAAAAAATATGGTCACCTTAATAAAATTCATATTGGAACCATTTCAGGCAATTGAATACTGTATTAATGTAAATAAGTTTATTTACACTTAAGCTAAGAATCACAACTATCGTGAATTTTCAAATATGACGCAATTCGAAAGTTGTGAGAGCGTCTCCGCGACATCAGCTGAATAACATTAAAGCATAAAATTTCTTCTGTATAAAGCAAAACACTACGACGAATTGACCTACTAAACTTCCGGAAAAAATATGATAAATGGATTAAAAATAATTGCCGAAACTAGCATATAATTTAAATTTATTGATGCATTAATCGATAATTTTATTGCATGATAAACATGACCGACTAAAAACGAAATCGACAATTTATCATAAGTTATTGTATGTCGGGACCTAAAGCGCAATTCTCTTTTATGAGGAAAGCCCTTCAAACACCCAACAGTTTAATCTAGCAGAGATTTAGGATGATAGAAGGTATTTTGAACCTAAAACCAGCTGGACTCTGCACGAAAGAATTTTACCTACTTTTTTTAAGCCTCAGTTGGGATCGAACCCGGGTTTTAAATTTGAGAGTCGAGAACGATAACCACTCGACTACCTAGCCTTGGTAAACTGACACAACATATGCATGTATAATGGAAATGTAAAGTATATAAGAAAATGTTTCACTTTCAGAAAAAGTATGTGTGTAAAGTATTCCACAATTTTAAATCTACGTTTTTTTTAATAGTTACAAACATTGATTTGTAGTTTTAAGTATTTATGTCTAGTATTAAGTGTGATGAAGTTGTATGTAAAAGTGTAATGAAGTTGTATGCATGTTGTATGTAAAAGTGTAATGAAGTTGTATGTAAAAAGTGTAATGAAGTTGTATGCATGTTGTATGTAAAAGTGTAATGAAGTTGTATGCATGTTGTATGTAAAAGTGTAATGAAGTTGTATGCATGTTGTATGTAAAAGTGTAATGAAGTTGTATGCATATTGTATGTAAAAGTGTAATGAAGTTGTATGCATGTTGTATGTAAAAGTGTAATGAAGTTGCATGTATAATAAAGTGTAATGAAGTTGTATATATAAAGTGTTAAATATGCCTAGTATAAAGTGTTGAAGTTGTATGTATAAAGTGTTGAAGTAGTATGTATAAAGTGTTGAAGTTGTATGTATAAAGTTAAATGAATATGTCTAGTATAAAGTTGAATGAATATGTCTAGTATAAAGTGTTAATTATGCCTAGTATAAAGTGTTGAATATGTGTGTAGTGTATAAAGTGTTGAATATGTGTAAATATGTATTTATGAAGTATGTCTAATATCAAATGTTGCATATGTATGTCTAGTATTAAGTGTTGTTGTATATGTATATCTAGTATTAAGTGTGTGTGTATGCTAGCGTTGTATATATATAGATATTATTAAGTGCCTAATTTTTCAGAGCAATATTTTTTCTGATCTTTTGATCTTTAATTTATACTTAGTATTAGAATTGTATCATTGCCATGAGTAACTACATGTAAATGAAATTTTGCTTTATTGCAAGTCGTATTGATTTCCCGATACCTTAAAAAATCAACCTAATAAAAATTGAGATTAAGCTATTTAGAAAAATAATAATCAACGCGATTTCTATTGATATTCCAAATTATAATATTTGTAATTGTATAAATTTATAATTTATAAAAAATGTATAATTTATAAAAACATATTTAATTCCATTTCGTGTTCTAAAAAATTATTTTATTTAAGTATGGAAATCAACGGTAATCAGTAAGTAAAAACTGAGCGGGATATAACTCTGTCAATATAAAAAAAAAATCGCATTTTAAGTATTTGTTAAAATAATTTTAAATCGACTATGGCTCACTAATATCTTTACTCCAACAAATCATATACAAATTCAGAATCCATTACACATTCGCAAATGGCAAGGTCATTTTACTATTTTACATGTTAGTCGAGGTCCAGTTACGGCATAGCAATAAAAAATCCAGCAAAAAAAAACTTGATCCAAAAAAGTAAAATTATAGCTCTGAGAAGTGATAAGAATATATTCACAAGAATTCAAATATGCATTCGTGCAGGGTAATATGATATACATTGTGTTTAACTTTGTCATATCAAATGAAGAATGCAACGATTAAAAAAATAAACATGATAATCTAATCAAATTAAGGTGTGAAACTTTCTCAGTATCTGGAACTCATTAGCAATATTTTAAGATATATTTTATATAGAAAACAAATCTTTAAGCAAATCAATACCATATCTTATCTGTTGATCATTTTTCAAACTCAGCTTCAGTTACTAAGCTCAAATAGTTGATAAAAATTTAATAAACATATCAATAATTAAACAGAAAGCCGACGACTTGTTTTGTTGTATTTATTTTGATCAATTCAAGAGGAGATAACGTTATCCATAATTTTACACCAAACATTATAAAGATAATGAACTAATAAAAATATGTTAATACTGTCTGAAGTACTGAAAAGATCAGCTTAGAGTAATCTTAGGGTATTTGAGTAATATAAATAAAGTAAAAGATAATAAAAATTTCGAACAAACTGCCAAATTACACACTGGCTCACTACCAATGATAAAAATAATCAGATAATTTATTTTATACCTTATGACCATTAATCAGATCACATAATACTGCAATATTGCAAATAAATAAATAAAAGATCTTATAGCATTGTTACTAAGCAATTTACATTTGAGTCAAATCAAAGCAATTAAATGCAATCTAAATTATTATCTACATTATCTTATAAAATTAATTAA